TTTTTTTTTTTTTGTTTTTCAGTTTTTCCTTTCTAAATTATTTATTTTTTTTTTCCAGATTTTTATAATTTTTTCACTTTTTTAAAATTTTATGAATATATTTTTAAAGATGTTAGTTTTTGGGTGGGATCCACTTTATTAAGAAATTTTTAAAATTTTTTTCTTTTCTTTTACAATTTTTCTCTTTTTGCTTAAATCTATCCATTAGATAAATTTATTCCTATACGTGGTTTAACTTAGTGCCATGTGACACTCCTAAATTTTTTTAGTTTTATTTTTTATTTTTATTGCTTCTTTTTTCTTTTTTTTCAATTTTTTTGTATTTAATAAATTTTTTCCTTTAAATGTTTTAAAAGTTGGATCTACCTAATATCAATCTTTCTTTTCTTACTGTTGTAACTCATCAGGAGTACCGCAAGTGAATAGGTTATGAAAGTAATAAAAATCGAAAATATTTTGGATTATCATCTCTTCAAAAATTGAGAATTATAAACCTAAAGATAAGTACCAATTTTGATATTTCAGATATAGCTAGTCAAACCAAATATTTTGTTTTTTTATTTATTTAATTGACATGAAAATTAAACCATATCAAATATTTAAAATCTAATTACTACAAATTATGAAAAAAAATAACTGCTTAAGAACTAAAGCTTACTAAATATAAAAATTACTAAAAATGAAAAGTTGCTAAAAATAAAAATTAAACAATTAAGCCAAAATGAGCTAAGGCATGAAAAATAATTTTAAACACACTTAAACAAGAATTTAAACATAAAAGCTTAATAATTTAAATGCAGAAAATTAAAATAAAAACAGAAAATAAAACTTACAAGTGAACTAACCCGAAATTCCTACATGACCTATATGAGTAATTACCACCTAAACATGCATTACATGTAAATAAAAATAAAAACTGTTTTGCATGGTTAATCTAGACCTAAAATAGAACAAAAAACTTGTAGGATCCTTATGCAAAAACCAAACACAAATGGAAATAAAAATTTCTGCAAACTGAAATATTAGGATGCATGGAAATTAAGACCTATGAACTAAGATGCTAAGAAAATGCAATGCTATCTAAGGAATTTGTAAAAACTGTTTTACTAGCTTAAAATAGACATAAAAAGAAGCAAAAAAAGTATAGGAAAACTTTGCCTAAAACTAACCAGAAAGCCAAAAAAGCACTGCTGTGGAAGTTCCGCGGCTGCACCAGTTTCTGACTTGGCATTCCAGCTCAGCTGATTTCTATGTGATGCTTTCTTGGCTGGTCCAATGAGTTGTCTTGAGAACTCCACATGTGAGGTGTGTTGACAATCACCTAAACTCTGCAAAGGTCAAGTCTTTACATCTCTTAAAATCTTCAATCGTTGACCAACCCAGTTCTGGCAGCATTGAAAATCAATGCTCATTCATTATCCTCCTTTTTTCTCAGCGTCTTCCCACTTAATTGCACATATTCTCCTCTGATTTCTACAGCCATAAAGTCTTTCAAAAACACCCTAAAGTCAGAAACACAGCTGTCAAGAAATCTGACAGAATTGGAAAATAATTAGCACTGACAATTTGGTTCTCCCTTTTCAGGGGTCACTGGTATTAAATGTGGAAACTTTTGTTTCCTAAAGTCATTCAGTGAGAAATGAAGACAATTTAAAGCCAGCTCTGAAAATCAACCCAAAAATTACTCCAAAACCGTGACTTTTGACAGCATATGTTTTTCCATGCAGCTCACTCACGCACCAAGAAATTGCTCTCGGCTTGGACATTCTAAGAACATGGCTTTGAATTGGCTTGTGGTTTTAGCAGCTTCTCACCTCTTCAAGGTTTTTTCAAGGTCTGGAATTTCATCGTTTTCCTTCCCATGCAGCTCATGCACAGCTAGCTAGCTCAAACACAACCAAAATATGCAACTTTTGGAGCCAATTAAAATGCACACTACGAGCCCTATAAAACCGTGACTACCGTGGGTGTTTGATCCAGTTTTTGCTTCAAAGTTTAACCTATAAAATGAGCATTTAAGTGTTATCCGATGTGGCTTAATTTTAGCTACAATTCAGCTCATTTAACAACCCTAAAAACAGCCTACAAGTGACGCCACTGCTGCTTTGTTTGGCTTGAATTTCCAGCCAGCTTTGGCACCATGTTTGCTTTCAAATTTAACTCATCAAATCAGCCACTTGAACTTGAAATTAACATTTCAAATGCAGCTCCAATTTAGCTCAAAACTAGCCTTGAACTCAAGTCAAATATCATTGCAAATAGCCTTAAAAATCAGTCTTCAATTCCATCCAATGTTGACGCTACTTGATGCTTTGTTTTTTTCATGTCTTTGACTAGCATCTTGCATCCCATTTGGCCTCCACATTTAGTTCTTTGATTGAGTCCACTTCACCTTGAATTTACCTCTTCAATTGTTTTTTTCAATTTAATTTTCTCAATCGTTTATTTTACCTACATTTAAGACAATTAACACATTTAGATAGAAAATTGATTAATTCAAACAAAAATTAAGTATAAAAATGTTATGATTTAACATAAAATCCTATGATCATTCTATAAAAAATAAAATTATCACTTACCCTTTTTTCTCTTGCCTTTTCTTTTTCTTTTTTACAATTTTTTATAAATATTTTCAAAGATTTTAAATTTCTTTTTGTATGGGATCTACTTGATACAAAGAGTATGCAACGTATTTGCTTTTTTTTTTTCTTTTTTAATTATTTTTTATATATTCAATAAATATTTTAAAGATTTTAAACTTTTTTGTGTAACTCAAAGTATGTCACGTGTTAAGTCATTTGCTTCCTTTTTCATTTTTTATTTACTTGTTTCCCTTTTTAATATTAGATGAATAATTTTTATTATTGTAAAAGTTTTTTAGTGACGCCCATTTAGTATTATTGATGAAAAAGTATTTTTTTTTTTATTATCTATTTAGTTTTATGTTTATATATATGTATTATATTAATTAAGTTGTTATTATATAACTTAATTTAAAATATTAACATTTTAAACTCGATTTAGATGTTCATATAACAACCCGATGATCTCTCTTTTCACTTTTTTTTTCAATTTTCGTTTCTTATTTTTTCGTTTTTCTCTTATTTTTTTATTTTTAATTAATTAAGTTATCATTAAATATCTTAATTTAATATATTAACATTTTAAGCTCAATTGGAATGTCATGTTGTGCCCCAATGAGCTCCATTTTTCTTTTTTTTTTTGTTTTTATATTTTTAAGCTAAATTAATTTTGTGAAGAAAAGAAGCCAATGGAAATGTTCATGTGACACCCTCAATTTGCTTTTTATCTTTCATATTTTTTAATTAGATAAATTTTAAAACAAAATGTGCCAATTGATAAAGATATCAAAATAATTTGTGTTCAACAGGTTTTGATCCATCTCAATCCTCTAGGTATTTATTTTTTTTAAATCAAAATTGAGTTGGGAAAAGGTAGAGGTTTCTTCTTTTTTTTAGAAAAACAAGATCAAGACAGAAGCGTATTTAAAATACTCAGTCCCAACCCATTTTTTCATATATATAAAAATATATATAGTTTATTTTTAATTTTATTATATACAGTTCATTAACAAATTTATTATTTGATATCTTAATTTTAGAAATTAATATTTTAAATTCAATGGGAGTGTTCATGTAGCACTCTCTAAATTTTTTTTATTTTTTGTTTTTCCTTTTTTTTTTTCATTTTAATCCTTTTTATATTTTCTAATTTTTTGTTTTTATTTTTTTAATTAGATAAATTTTGTGAGAAAAATAAGGTAAATTGAAATATCCACATGTTTTTACTCCATTAGTTTTTTTTTTTAATCTTGCACTTTTTATTTTTTTAATTAAGTAAATTTTATAATAAAAATAATAAATAAAATGAACGAAAAAATTCTCCATCATCAGATTGATAGGTTTGCATTCCTAGACATTGGGGCACTAACCATATGTGAAGATGAAACGGTCATCTATTAATCAAAGAAAAACTTTTTTACATTTGCATCAAGGATTCAATGAAATAAAGATTTTAATTTTTAATATAGTAAAGTTTAAGTTAATTTTATTCAAAATAATTATTTTGAAAAAGATTTCAATGTTAATAAAAAAAATAGATAGATAAAAATTATTTAATATGTAATTTAATAAAAAAAATCCTCAATGAAAGAAAGTTTACTTAAATAAAGAACTCAAATTTGGTAAGAAAATAAATAAAATTAGTCGATATTTTAATTTAACAAGAAAGTAATTAATTAAGGATAAAACGGTTAAAAGTTTACTTTACTCATGACTTCAATATTAATTAAGAAATAAATAAAAATTAGTCAATATTTTAATTTAATTAACACGTAGTCTTTCTTTTTCTTTCCTCAAAAAATATCTATCCACCCACCTAACACGTAGCTTGCCCAATTTCTTTCTTATAAAGTTTCTTCGGGTTTGTTTCTTTTTCCTTTGCTTTTTATAATGACCTTGACTACATGCGAAAACATATGTTGATCACTGTTTTGTTCACGCGTTAAAATTAACGTTTTATTTCACTGATTTTAAATTAAAATAATATTAATAATTTATCAAATATTAATTTAATTTATAAAATTATTTCATGAAAATTTTAGATTTCACCAATGAATTTAGCAGGATGACAAATGTATATTTAAAAAGTAACAAAAACTAATTAAACAATTTATTTTGTATCTAAAGGCAATTTTTACATTTTATTTTCCAGAGGTAGAAAATAAGTAAATAAAGTAAATGAAACCCGTAAAAAGAAAGAGTGGAAAAATGAAAAAGGTGTAGAAATGTAACACAATTGACACCGGAAATCACGAGGGATTCCGAAGGCGGGCCAAATACTGTGAATTTTAGAGGAACTCGGGTTCCTCGAGGCATATATATAACAAAGCCAAAATCATTTCCAAAGGTATAGAGCATAGATACAGAGGTAATTAACAGTTATATAAAGTAAGCTGAGCTGAGTTTATTGAGATAATCATGGGGCCAAAATGGGTATGGGTAATGATGAATGTGTTGGTTTTAGGAGCAACGTATAGTGATGGGTGTTTGGAACAACAGAGACTTGCACTCCTACAGCTCAAACGTTTTTTCAATGATCGTCAGTATTTACGCACCTGGACGGGGGAAGTGGGTTCGGACTGTTGTCGATGGGAATTCGTTGAGTGCAACATCACCACTAGACGAGTCACTGAACTCTCTTTAAACTGGATGAAGTCGGTAAATCAGAAATGGTATCTTAATGCCTCTCTGTTTCTTCCATTTGAAGAACTGAGGAGTCTTTATCTCCAAGGGAATGAAATAGCTGGTTTTGTTGAGAATGAAGGTTAATTGGTTGTATTTCTTCTTAGTAATTTATAATACCATAAAATAAATAAATAAATAAATAATGGGTTAATTCCTATTATCCGAGGTGGCTTTGGACGAGACACTACTCACTAACTTGTTTTATGCATGCAATGCATTTAAAAATTCTCTTTTCTTCTCTTGCAGGTTTTGAAAAGCTATCCAAGTTGAAACATCTCGAGATCCTTGATTTAAGCTATAATCACATTGAGAGCCTCCGGTCCTCCCATGGTATATACATTATTGACAACCATGTTCATGTTCTATACAAGCTGAAATTATGCCAATTTTCTGCAGGTAATGGAAGACAATTGAGGCTGATCAATTTACAAGTACTTGACTTAAGTGACAATCCCTTCAATAACAGTATATTGGCAGACCTTAGTGGGTTTTCAAATCTAAAGTCATTGAATTTAAGACAAAATCAACTGAATGGATCAATAGATATCAAAGGTAAAACTAAATTCTATAACTTTAAAGCAATTATTAATTAAATAAGCAGTCTCTAACATAGTTTAATGTGTGAAATCTATCCAGAACTTTGCCTATTGAGCAATTTAGAGACACTAGATATGAGCCACAATGAGGTAAACCAATTTGTGACTTTTAAAGGTATGAATTAAAGTAAATTTTAATTTTCTACATCATTCATTAATCACAGATATTGGTCAATGATATTAACGACATCAAAACAAAGCTTTTCCAATATTGGTTTCTCCTAATATTATTACACTTTGATAATTAAGGATGGTTATTAAGGAATAATGATTTTCGGGTTCTTTTGAATTCAAATGTTTCAATTTTGCATTATTTTAATTTGGATAATTTTAAATTCGAATTATTTTATCTTCGAGTCATATGATACTCATACCAAGGGTCAACTCATTTTGGGTTTAAATTAATGGCTTTTAAATTCAAATCAAGTTGAAGTTAGATGAATCATTCAAGTCATTGTGGATCAGCTCAACTTGTTTATTGATGATTTATTGTGAATGATTAATTGATTGTACTTGTAGTGTCATCAAATTAACAAAATATATCCACTAAGCCACTATCGTATATATTTACACCAAACTATGCAGTCGAACTACATATACTAAATATATACTCTTTCCTTGCAGAAAATAGATGCTTGAGGAAGCTAAAAAATCTCTATCTAGACGATGTCTCCACCAAACAAAGCTTTTCTCTTGTATCATTCAGAGGCATTTTCATCTGTAAAGACTCTCTTTTTAAGAGATAATTCTAATTTAAACAAAGCATTAGTTACTCAAGGTTAGTTATGGTTGTGATTTTATATAAAAATGTTAAATCAATTTATATTAATTTTAAATGTTATTTATTGTCCAACATATACCAAATACATCCATAGCATCTACACCTCCATCAATCATACTTACTAAATATATACTTCTTGCTCTACATAGAGTGAGTATTTTTTTTCCCTTTTGGATGTCAATTGTACACCAGAGTTGCATCTGTTGAGCAATGTGGAGGACCTATTCATGGATAATACTCCTTTGGACATCAACTTTTTGCAAAGCATTGGCAACTTGACTTCTCTCAAAATCTTGTCCCTGTATAACTGCGGTTTGGCTGGCACTTTACCTAGTCAAGGTAATAGAATTACATTTTAAGCATCAGCTACTTTCATTTTGTTACTTCTTTTTTTTTTGTATTTTTAATAACTAATATTACTCTATGTTTTCTGTATTTAATATTAATTTTCTTTTTTCTTTTCTTTTTAAGTCAAAGTTTATTAAAGCAACCATGAAGTTACAAAACTAGCCAAGACTAGCAAAAGGAAAATCCAAAGTACCAATACACACCAACTTGAGAATCTAAAATCACCTGAATGAAGCCAAAGAAAAACACTCTACAAGCTAGCAAGAATAGCCAAGAGCGACCAAAATTACAAACAAGAACCCAGAATATGGTCACCTATGAAAAACCCACCATACTTGAGTTTTGTACGGTAATGTAAACAAATAACTGTCGGAAACAAGAAAAATGGTACGTAAACAATAGCCAGTAAATGATAAATTCAACCACATCATCAATAGAACCATCTTGTGACAACTATCGAACACTAACTGTTAACATTATCATCTAAGTCCCTCCGTTCCATTTCTATCATCTTGTCAATAATAATTTCTTCATCACCTTCAAACGATAACCCAGGACGTTTCTCAAGATCCCAAGTTTTGATAGCTTCTTCTTTTTGCATAGAATTTACTTGTCAGATATCATTATCTAAATGTTATTGACTTTTTCAAGAATCACAAGGGATCCTTAATACAAACTAGAATCTTTGAAACCTTCTTCCTATTCCGTTTTTAGTTTTTCTCATTTCTTTTTCCTAATTTTGTGACAGTTTAGATTTTTCCTACATAAGTAATCAAAATTATCTTCAATATCTTCAGAATTAACACTATACTCTTCATTTTCCATTTTTAAGTCACACTCTTCATATTGGACAGATTCCTTATCTTTCTCTTCCTCGACTTCCTAATCTAAATTCAAAGAATTGGAAGCTAATCTATCTTCGAGTGACTTTTTGTCCTTGACTACCCCTACCACCATTCCTATACTCAACCACTTCTAGACAACAAGCAAGGCTATTAGACTCTTCTACTGTAGTTCTTCCTTCCCTATTCACCAGCATAGGATCAAGGCTCCAATTATTTTCTTAGACTTGATTTGTATTAGGAATATCCAAAGACCCCCCACTACTAAAGGATTGCTTAACATCATTTGAAAGGTGAGCTTGTACTGGTTCATCTCCTAACTCCTTGGGCTGAACATGGTTAGGCACCTCTACTAAATGATTCTCATAGGACAACTCCTTTTCATTATCTAGTGTACTATCCTCTGAAATCTCTAAGACATAAGCTTTTAGTATCTCATCTTGATTGATTTGATAATTGAAGGCCCTATCATAATGTATAAGTCCGTAAACCTATCGCTTGACACAAAATTTAGAAGTTGTCACTAATATTTTTTTTATTTAGGTGCAGTTAAATATCTAGATAAATCTTCCCTCTTTTAAAAAGTAGCCCCAAGCTTGACTCAAATTCCTTAAAAGAGTAAGTTTTAGTCTATGAAATTAAAATTGGGTTTAAGAGTACGGTTATATGTAGAGAAGATTATAGCACCTCTACAACACTTATTCAAATAATGATACCAGTTGATTTCGTGTTATTCAAAAACCTCAAAAATCTTACCAGATAATTAATTATTGAAAATTATTGTTAAACTACTCCAATCTGTTTATAATAATTTTAAAACATTCTTTCACATCAAGAATATCCAATGAGACTATTTGTCATGCTTGAAGAGGTTCCGTTGTCAAATTCATTTAATTTTTATACAAAACCTTTTATTCATTATAAGTGGAATTTTTTGTGAGAATCTTGATTGTGAAAATCTTTCCTAAATTCTTCGATATATTAATAAAATTTAGAAAGAATTTCTCATTTAATAATTTACATGGAAATTGCTTATTATAACTCTCTTAGTAATTTCATCACTAGATCCAAAACCAATTTTATAAATCAAACCCACAAATGTATTTATTTATTTTCAAAAATATTTTTCAATATGTTAATAAAATTTTCTATAAAAAAAAATCATCCAATATATTAGCAAAATTCACAAAAATTATATTTTTCTCTTCGAAATATATTTTTTAATTAATAATATTTTCTAATATTTTTGTAAAATCTTATTTTTAAACATTTTAAAAATCATAAAATCTTCCAATATATTGGTAAAGTTTATTTATTTAAAATACATTCTAAAATTTCAACCTTCCAATATGTTGATAAGATTTTATTTTTATTTTCAAAAATTATTTTTTTAATTTCAAAACCCTCCAATATATTGGTAATTTTTTTATTTTTTAAAAATTATTTTAAAATTACCAAACCTTTGAATATGTTAGTAAGATTTTATTTTTGTATTTCAAAAAAATACTTTTCTTAAAAAACATTTTTATTTTTAAATAGATAAATCAATAAAATAAAAACATAGCCTAAACTTTTTTACTTGGCACGACTTAAGAAATGGCTTGGCTTGTGACTAGTGTAGCGATTCGGTTAAGTTTGATGGCTTGACTTGACAGCACCTCAAAAGTTGATGAATTTTAGGATCAGATTGACGCTTGGAAAATTAGGAATCATCATTGGAATTTGGAAGTATCATCAGAATTCTTGTTGAGAACTTCAAAGGTATCTTAAAATCTTATCAGAGCTTGGGAATTTTGTCGAAAAATCATCAAAACTAGAAAAAGCCTAAAATTTGAACTTGAACTATCTAAAACCTTTTCACTCTCAAATTCTCCTCCATGATTGTTGTATTGGTAAGTAATGAATTGTTGGGTATTTATAGGAACTTAATCCCAATTTGATAAGAACTCTAACTCAATCAAAGATTATTCTAAAAACTATCTTCAAAATAATTTTAGAATTTCATCTACATCCTCACTCATTTTTTCCAAAATCAAACTTTTTAGATTTTATCAACACATTATATACCTGACAAAGAAATTGATCTCGATACCAAACCCTTGAATTGAATGAATTCCAATCCTCCAAGAATTCAACCCTACCCACACTCTTTTTCAACTCTTTTCATTTTTTGTTTTATTTTTTTAAAAAAATAAAAACAAAGATAAAACAAAGTAAAGATAATTAAGAAATAAATAAAGATATATAAGGAGATAAATCACTAAATAAAAATAACTAATGAAGATAAATAATCTATAAAGATAAATACCTTATAAAGATAAATGAGAATAAATAATAAAAAACTTAAAATAATAAAAAAAATTAGGTTTTTAAGCTTAGACCCAAATTGGATTCAAATAATATCAAAAGTCAATATGCTCCCAAAAGTAACCCTAGACAAAATAGAGTATCTACAGCTATCTCCTTTTATGCATTTTTAGTGAAACAAGAATTGTATAAAGATATAGTCATCCATTACGTCTAGGTTAACATGCTCAAAAAACAAATTAAAAAATATTTAAAATCTTTTCTAAACAGATAAAAAATTTTAGAATGATTTAAACATTGAAGTTTTGACCTAGATTGAGCTAAAGTCTAAAACAAAAAGACTTAAATTGAGCTGAAGTCTAAAAGTTAAATTACTTGGATTGAGCTAAAGTCTAAATTTGAGATGAGTTGGATTGAGCCAAAGTCTAAAAATATAATGACTTGGACTGATCCAAAATCAAAAAATTATTAAACTTGGACTGAGGCAAAGTTGAAAAATGATATGGCTTGGATTGAGCTTAAGTTAAAAAAATGATACGAGTTGCACAAAGCCAAAGTCAAAAAATTAATTTAACTTGGACTAAGCCAAAGTTGAAAATGAAATGACTTGAATTGTACTTAAGTCGAAAAATGATATGAGTTGGATTGAGCCAAAGTCAAATAATGATATGAAGCCAAAGCTAAAAATAATATGACTTGGATTGATCCAAAGTCGAAAATTTGATATGACTTGAACTAAAACTAAGTTGAAAAAATAATATGATTTGGTTTAAGCTAAAATTTTAGGCTGTTTGCAACATTTTTAGTAATTCTATCATCAAAGATCCCAAGCCAATTTTATAAAGTACAACACACATATATAATTATTCATTTTAAAAAATATCTTTCAATATGTTGGTAAAATTTTTTGTCAAAAAAATCTTTCAATATGTTGGTAGGATTCATGAAAATTATATTTTTTTTTTTCTCTTTGAAACATTTTTTTAATTAATAAGACTTTCCAATATGTTGCTAAAATCCTATTTTTAAACCTTTTAAAAATCACAACACCCTCCAATATGTTGGTAAGGTTTATTTATTTAAAATTCATTTTTAAACTTTCAACCTTCTAATATGTTGGTAAAGCTTATTTATTTAAAATTCATTATTAAAATTTCAACCTTCCAATATGTAGATAAATTTTTATTTTTATTTTCAATTTTTTTTTAAATTTCAAAACCCTTCAATATGTTGGTAAGGTTTTATTTTTATATTTTAATTTTTTTTAATTTCAAAACCCCCCATATGTTGGTAAGGTTTTTTATTTTTCAAAATCTGTTTTAAAATTACCAAACCTTCAAATACGTTGGCAAGGTTTTATTTTCAATTTTCAAAAATTATTTTTCTTAAAAAACATTTTTTATTTTTAAATAAATAAATAAAATAAAAATATAACCTAACATTTTTGCCTAAGCTCATGACTAGAATAGAGACTTGATTCGACTTGGTGTCTTAGCTTAGTAGGAGCTCAACTTGTGATGAATTTTAGGTCAAACGCTATAGGTCGGGTGGGATCAAATTGACGCTTGGGAAATTGAGAATCCTTGTTGGAATCTAGAGGTATCATCAAAATATTTGTCGGGAATTTTAATGCTCACTGAAAAATGTCACCTCAATTTGGAAATTTTTTCAGAGCCTTGGAATTTTGTAAAAAAAATTGTTCAGAATTGAAAAAGCCTAAAATTTAAATTTGAACTAACTAAAACTTTTTTGCTCTCAAATTCTCTTATGTGATCATTGTATGTTGATTATGTAAACTTGTAGGGAGTTTATAGGAGTCTAGTCCCAACTAAACAAGAACTCCGGTTGATTAGAAATTAAAATCTTTTATTATACAAGAACAAAAACTTTGAATTAATTTCTAAAAATCTAATCAAAGCCTTCAAAAAATTCACATGAATTATCAACCAAAAAATATTTTCCAATAAACATTTTGATTTTCGTTTTTTGATAAAGATAAACAATAAAAATGAGATAAAAACAAGATAAATAGAAAAATAAAAAAGATAAAAATAAATATAAAATAAAACTAATGATAAGTACAATTATAAATATAAAAATAAAATAAACTATAAAAATCGTACCAAGCCCAATTAATTTAAACTATGGACTGAATAGAGTGTCTATAAACCCTTTGACTAAAAAGATTTGAATATGATTATACAAAATACCATAAGAAACAGAAACTGAACTTTTATTAACCTTTTCCCCACCGTGCATGCAAGAATCACCTTTTTTCTCTATTCTAAACTTCGACAAGCTCTTTTAATGGATGCTAGAGACATCTTCATTTTCTTGCAACACACCATTAAACATCTCTGCATAAGATTTACAATTATTTAAAGGAACCTCAGATCTACTACTAGATTCTTTAAAACTTAGCACCAAATAGTCCCTTGGCTTTGAAAAATCGAAGTTTATAATTATCAATCCAGATACAATCTAAAGCTGAAAATCGTTGACATTCTTAAAATTGATAAATCCATATCTTTGACCCCAAATATTTTTTAGCGTGAATATACACATTGATAATTTTTAGAGATGACAATTTATCCAAAATTGTCAAGTTTCGACCCATAAGCTTTTTTAAATCGGGTTTCATGTTTGGTCATGGTTAAGTTTAAGGTAAAATCGCTTCAGTATATATAAAAAATATATATTTGTTATTATTTTTTAATTATATATTATATTAATAAAATTATTATTATTAATACTTTAATTTAAGATATTAACTTAATAAATAATACTATATTATGTATAATTAAGATGTAATTTACATTAAAAAATAATGTTTTATTAATATTGTACTAAAATTAAAATTATCAAGTTAATTTCAAATAGAGTAAATTACGACTTATAAATATATGGATTAGGTTGGGTATAAAAACTAATATTTTGATAAAAATAATATTTTGATGTCGGATCAAGTCCAAATCAGACGTAAATTTCATGAGGTCAGGTTGGAGTTGGCGCGAGAAAAAACTCACCCTTACTTGACTTATTGCCATCACTAAGAAAGTCACAAAAGTTTTCTTTTTTCTCTTTTTTAAGCTTATAGCAATTTTTTACTATTTTAACTATAAACTATATATATATATATATATATATATAGGCACAAATATAACTATGTGAAATTGAATCTTGATTAAAAAAAAAAACCAAAATTAAATTTGAATCTCCTCTTTATTTTTTTTACAGGTTGGTGCCACCTAAAAGGTCTCGAAGAATTGAGTCTCAATGGAAATGGTCTACAGGGTGCAATTGCTTCATGCTTGGGTAACTCGACATTTCTTCGCTATTTAGATATCTCTAACAATCAGTTCACAGGAAATATTGCCTTCACTGCCCTCTCAAATCTCACTATGCTTCAAGTCCTCTCCCTTTCAAATAATCAATTTCAAGTTCCAGTGTCATTCAAATCATTTGCAAACCACTCAAATCTTAAAATCCTTTCAAGCAATGGGAACAGGTTAGCAGCGGAACCAACAGTTTTCCAAACTTGGTCCCCAAAATTTCAACTTAAGGTCTTGAGTTTGTCAAATTGCACAATAGAAGAACATAGGAATCCACAACTTCCTAACTTCCTCTATTACCAATATGACTTGAGATACGTTGATCTTTCCTATAGCAATTTTGTTGGAATAAGGTTCCCCGATTGGTTGGTAAGGAATAATACAAGACTAGAAGCACTTTACATGATGAATAGTTCTATTGAGGGACCTCTTTTCTTACCATCACATCCTAATAATAACATGAGGGTACTTAACATATCAAACAATAAAATGCAACATCAAATTCCAACCAATTTTTGCTCAGTTTTTCCAAATTTAGAATTGTTAACCATGTCGCGAAATGCCTTCAAAAGTAATATTCCTCCTTGTTTGGGTGTTATGAGTGGGTTAGAAATTTTAGACATATCCTACAACTACTTTTTTGGAGGAATACCTAAGGAGTTGGCCATGAGTGGCTCATTAATGGTTCTTGTACTTTCAAAGAACACCTTGAGTGGCAAAATGTTTCCTGCAACACATCGCTCAACTAGGCTGAAAGGATTATATTTGGATGGCAACAACTTTGACGGAGAGATGCCTCATTTTTCCCCTATTATCTCTTCAGAGCTTGAAACTTTAGATTTAAGCAACAACCACTTGTCTGGGAAACTCCCAATATGGTTGTGGAATTGTACAAGATTGTTGATGCTAGCTTTGGCTAACAACCAACTCGACGGTCCCATTCCCATTGAATTATGCAATCTGGTGGATCTTCAGTACTTGGATCTTTCTCAAAATCACCTGTCTGGTACAATACCATCTTGCTCCAATCTACAGTATATAAAGCATGTACATCTGAGCAGGAATAAACTGAGCGGACCACTGTCACCTGCCTTTTATAGAAGCTCTTCATTAGTAACATTAGATCTGAGTGAAAACAACTTCACCGGAAAATTTCCAGATTGGATCCACACACTGCCGGCTCTGAGTGTCCTTCTTCTAAAAGCAAATCAGTTCCATGGTGAATTTCCTCTGCAATTGCGCAAATTGTACTCATTAAGCATCATGGACCTTTCTCAGAATAAACTTTCTGGTCCCATACCTTCCTGTTTCAGTAATTTAACTCTTCAGCCAAGGGATGAAAAGTCTGATATAACTAAAAGCATTTTCGGTGTTAAGTATGACGTCGTTGAAGGAGTATTGACAGATATGGGACTGAAAATATATCATCTCATAAAAGATAGGTATTATGAAAATGCATTTCCTACATCACCTTGGTCTACTTATACTTATGAAGAAGAGATAGTGATTTCAACAAAGAGGTCATCATACACTTACAAGGGTCACATTCTTGATATGTTTTCTGGATTTGATCTCTCTTGCAACCAACTCACCGGCATAATCCCACCGGGATTGGGGACTTTGGCCGAAATCCGTGGCCTAAACTTGTCGCACAACAATTTAACTGGACCCATCCCCTCCACGTTCTCAAAACTTAAGCAGATTGAGAGCTTGGATCTTTCCTACAACAACTTAAACGGTAGAATTCCCCTGCAACTGATTGAGTTGAACTTTCTGGCGGTATTCACTGTTGCACACAACAACTTGTCAGGGCCTCTCCCAGACAGGAAAGGTCAATTTGGGACATTCGACGGGAGCAGTTACGAGGGAAACTATCTTCTTTGTGGACCTCCATTGGAAAACAGTTGTGGTGAAGGTGATTCATCAGAAACTCCAAATGCTTCATCTGATGAAGATGAAGAAGATGGTTTTATAGACATGGTTGATTTCTACGACAGCTTGGGGGTTACCTTTGCAATTATATTGCTGGCAACTGGCATTGTACTCTACATAAACCCATACTGGAGACGGGCATGGTTTTATTTCATTGAAGAGCGAAGCACCGCTTGTTATTTCTTCATTGTGGACAATCTTCGTAGATTGCCCTGCTTCAGAAGAAACATATAGCCCCGTGTATCTTCCTTGGTTATAGAGCACTTCAAGTTCCAGGTAAGAATGTATCCTCCTCTTGCTCCATCTTCTTCTTTTTCCCTGAAAGTTTTTAGTGCTGAAATTTTGTAAGATGGGACTGTGTCAGTTATCTCATGTTGGCAATCTCCTCGAATTCTGAAAACTGATGCTTGGTAAAATAATTGTCTGATTTTAAAATGCCCTTAGCGTTTCTTTCTTTTTTTTTTTTTTGCATAAGTTTGGTTGTATCCGTGAATTTGTTTAGAGCTTGAAGTCGGAAATTTTCATATTGTGAAAATGGTGGTGGAATCAGGTAAAAATTTTATTACTATACTTTTGGTTGTGTCTGTAGACTGCAGGTAATAACCTTAGGCATACATATAAACAAATAACATGATTAACTTACAAATAAAACTCAAAGGCTTTTGTTTGAGGAGTTAAAAAATTACTCTTTCTTTATTCATATTCAGTTATGAAAATGTAAATGCAATTTCAGGGAAAACATAAGTGAGTTGCCCATAGCAATACCTCTTTCTAACAAGGCAACAGACAAACCGTCTCATCAACGCAGGATTGCTCTTTCTTTGGTCATTTCGGTTATAGTTATTAAATTGAGACTCAGTCCTCACCCACCTAATTCTTAACTTAATTTTTAGCCACTCGTCTACCCCAAGCTGCCCACACAGTGTGGTAATTCAGACCAAGTTGAGTGTGATGTTTATAAGAGCTTAAGCTCTCGGAAGCATATCACTTACAATTATTATAGTGTAATTAATCAGGGATATCAATTTTATTTATATTTATTGAGAACCTAATTTTTTATCCAAATAGAGATAGAAATTATATTTTGGGATAATGATAGAAATGAGTATAATTTTAAATTTTTTAGTGGGTATTAGGATAGGAATGGATAATATAGCACTCATCTCATACATATAACCATACTCTACGTGTATATATATTTATATATATTTAGTAAATAAATATTTTATTAAATAATATAAATTATTATTTTAGATTAATTGAAATTAATACATTTTTATTTAAAATAAATATTAATATATTTATAATAAAATTATATAAATATACAAAATAATTTTTTTTTAAAAGTTACGGATATGAAAATTATCTATACCTACTAAATACCCATAAGAATGAAGATGGAGATATATTTGAAATATTTGTTGGGCATAAATAAAAAATTAGTATAATATAAAAATCTAAAAATAAAAAATATTTTACCATTCTCATATTTTACCCATTGATATTCTTATAATTAACCAATCATAATTTAATATTGCGTAAGACCTATCAAAAAATTACTATTACTATTAATATTAAGAATTTTACTATTAATATTTTTATAAAATCTAGTAAAATATATATTAGGCTATAATATAAAAAAAACCTTCAAAGTATTTAAAAAATTCTAAGCCCTTATATTATTGTATTTAAATAAGTCCATCGACTCTTATTTTTCACTACTTAGGTTCTTCTAAGACATGTGAATACAATAATATGGCAAAAAAATATACAAATGAACACAATGATATAAATATGACTGAAAAAGTATATAAAAATTCAAAAAAGAGTGGTCTAACGAAAATTTGTTAATTGTACCATGATAAAAAAAATAATTATTAGCAAGAAAATAACAATATATAAAATTAATAAAAAGTAAATGTCTTGTATGAAAATTAATAAAAAAGAATTGATTATTTGATACATGATAAAAAATAATTAGTGAAAAATAAATATCTATTGTAAAATTATTATTTATTAATAAAAAAGTCTATATATAGGAAACTTTTTAAAAATAATAGGAAACTGTCAATTTTTTTCAAGTTAACATCTATAAAAATAGATTGCCTACAAAATATACTAAAGTAGCTAACACAATATAAGTTAGAACAAAACACTTGGTGAAAAGTTTGTATTTTCCTTTTTGTTTTACTTTGCAGCAAAGTGTCCACCAGTAATACACTAAAAAAGAGTAAGATCTCTTTTTACATGTTTCCAACTACTTACGAAGAACCCAAAAGAACAGAAAAGCAACAAAATATAAACATGATGGTAACAACAAACATCAATAATTGATCATGGTTAATGTCTTCTATAACTTTTCTACGAAAAGAATGCTTTCTGTATGTGTTTAAACAACGGGTTTCATGCTGTACTAACATCTTCCAAATTTTTATCTAGTTAATGGATTGAAAGAAGCTCGAGATTACCAATGATAAGCCGAATGGTGTCATTCAAGTGCCAAAAATCAAAGGGAAAAAAACCCAGTAAAAAAAGCAATATTAAGTAAATGTGAACATGTACCTCAGTCACACATAAGTTCAAAAAATCATTCAGCGGTTTCTTGGAGAGGACTTTCTATTGCTGCTTGGGTACTCTGATGTTCACTTCCTTGTGGCAAAATACATTCTTCAATGATTGCAACTATGCTTTTAATATCAAACATGACCAATGCAGCCTTTACTAATTCTTTTGCTTTTGCAAGCTTCGTTGAACTGCTTAGCAAAACAACAAGAAAGTACAATTTTTTTAAGAAGAAAAAGAAAGCAATAACTAATGTTAAATTGTAGCCCACAGCTGGAGATATGAACAATTACAAATAGAAATTGGGAAATAGAAAACAGATATGTAATATACCAGAGCTAGAACATCTACAAAATACAGTATCAAAGCATGAGAAGAATGGGAACAAAAATGGAAGCTAAAGAAAAGCAGAAGTAAATCCAACTTGTATGTTGGTTGTAGGCTTGTTTATACTTCTTTCTGGTTTTCTTTGCACCTATTTTACATTTTAAAAGGCGCTCTGCTTGTGTGAAAAATGACTCCCCAGCAACCGTAGTATGTTTCCAGCATCAGATATGAGCAGCATATCCCCTGCAGTTCATCTATCTTTTCACTCTCGGATGAACTGGTTAGGAAATCTAAAGGAATAAAACAAAAAAAAGTAATGTTAATGTGTAATGTTTTAAATAGACTTAGCAAGAACAACAAACATAGACGAAAACTACATAAAAAAATTAGGTATAAACAAGACCTATTTTCCCTTAAGCACGAATAACACCACCCCCATTTGTGGCTCGTCTTTGTTTCTTCGATCAGGAAACCCACAATGACCAAAAAAAAAAAAAAAGCAACTATAAGATTAAACACAAAAGAAATATCCAAGTATTGAAAACCTCAAACCCAAAAACAAAGTAACAGACTGAAAAACGAAAAAGAAAGCAAAAAGGAGTAAAAGATGGTTTCTCAGCATTACTATCCAAACACCAAAGAAAGGGATTGATCAGCGATATGTGGGCTAGCCAGAATGGTCCCAGAATCACTCACTTGTTCTTCGTGAATGATAGTTTGATATACTTTAAAGCAAACCAAATAGAAAGTGAAAGGGAGAAGCACATACTAAGAAGATAAGGAGAAGGTTCTGAGCAACTAGTGAACTTCGAAAAATCACTATTGTTTTTTAGCACCAAAACGCCAGAGATCTTCAGGGAGAATGTAAAGCAGAACATTGGTGTTTAAGCAACCACCAACTTGGAGAAATACTTGGGATTGCCAACAATGGTAAGTAGGAATAACAGGAGAGCCTTCAGGGATATTGTCAACAGGATAAAAATAAAGATAGAGCATTGGAGCAAAAGATGTCGCTTTCAAGGGGACAAAAGTATTTATTAAATTAGTGGTGCATGCCATGAACTCTTTCTTTTTCGCTAAAGGGCTTTGTGAAAAGTCAATAGGCTAATTAGTAATTATTGGTGCAGCTCTAAAACAGATAGGAAAGGAATGCATTGGATGAGATAGGGTAAGTTGAGCTTATCTAAAAGAGATGGAGGCATGGGGTTTTGAGACTTTGAGTGTTGTAACTTAGCTTTACGTGGGAAGCACGGATGAAGGCTGTTGAAAAATACAGATTCACTGCTGCATAAAGTGTTAAAAGCTAAATATTTTCCAAGCTCATCCTTCTTAGAAGCTTCCCTAGGTTCAACACCATCTTTCAAATGGAGAAGTATCAGGACAGCCCGTGATGTGTTAATGTCCGGGCTATGCTGGAGAGTGGGTGATGGGTCTAAGATTAGAATTTGGGATGATAAATGGCTGCTTGCAAATAGGGTGTTAGTGTTCCCAACCAATCAGAGTCAGCCACTTGATAGAACATTAGTGGCGGAGCTAATAGAGCATTGGACCAGACAATGGAAAAGGGAATTGATCGACAATATCTTTGTCATAACGTCTAGATCCGGAGATCTATCGCTAGACATTAACTTTAGGAATTACCACTAATCTTTTTTATCTAGGTGTGATTGACCACCTGAAGAATTTATCCGTTTAAGGAACTCTTA